ATGAGGGCAATGAATGTACAAATGTGCTTTACACAATTGATGTATGTATGGATTGTGATAAGAGTTGTATGAGCCCCTAATAAAATGATTAAAAAAAAAAAAAGAACTACCCATCCCAAATGTCAATGGTGCCAAGGTTGAGAAATCAGTTACAGATGAAATTAGAGTGATGATTTTTGCCCTAAAGCACGGTTTGCATATGGAGGATACTATGGGGTTACTACTAGCCTTCCCTAACCTCATCAGAGTGGACCCTGAACAGCAGTGGGAGTGGGAGAAACGTATCCCAAGGCAGGTTGGCTGGGTGTGCCTGTGGACATAGCATGGTCAGCTGATGGCTTGGGGAAATGGAGAAATGCCAGAAATGACCCTCATTGGAGAGAAAGGGGCCCTGCTGAGCTCCTGCTCCCTGCTCTGCCACTCACGCAAACTGGGCTAGAGCTGACTCTGTCTCCATTTCATGGAGATAAAGAATCACCTAAAACCCTGAGGCCCTACCCAGACTAGCTTTGAAACCCTCTATGAAAATGGAAGTGTACCTGAAACCTTTGTCCTCTGAAACGCTTCTAACCCAGGCGGACTCTGAACCACACAGAACTGAGTGAAATATCACTCTGGGGTGTAGGGCGTGGGCCTTGGCTTGGCTCAGAAGGTTGAGGACTGCCGCTCTTCAAACTCAAACACCCACGGCCATGGAGTGAAGTCTATCTCAAATCAGAGAACAGGCGGAGGCCCAGAAAGATGAAGTCATGAAGTTACACAGAAAGTTCCTGGATACTAATTTCTATTTTCCGTTAACTGAAGACAGGGCTTCCTTTGCAGGAAATTAGTGGCAACCTCAGCTCTGACATTTCCACCCTTTCCGAACCTCCAAATCTCCCAAAAGAACCCTTAGACATGAAATTCTCCATTTCCACCTTGTAGAGCTTACAAGACACAAGTTGTTGTATAGGATCATTCTAATCTTCTTAAGCATATCTGAGGACTTATATCTCAATATCTATCTGCTCCGACATATTTCCTTGGGGGCTGGGAGACTTTTGCTGACCGAGTTCTTTTGCTGACCCAGAAGTTCTCGGTCCACACTCCACTCTTGCAGAGCGAGAGAGCTGTTTGGAAATGATTCTACATCTGTCCAGAGGAAAGCATCCGCTGTCCTAAGGAACCAACTGACTTCTTAACGTGAAGGCATGGACTGAGACGTCGGAGCAGAGAGGGCCAGGGCGAGGAAAGGGCCTTTGACCATTCTGTATAACACAGGGCCCCAGTTCTCCGTAGGCCAGGCAGGGTACAGGAAACCAGGAGAGCCCGGGGCTGAAGCGCCCTGAGCAAGGCCCCAGAGAGTGGGGTGATACATGCAAGCGAGTGGGAAAGTCCCGAGGGCACATCTAACGCATCGAGACGAACTTCAACACACAGAGAGGCCCCCCGAAGAGATGGGGGTAGGCAGAGGTCAGAGAAGCTGGAGCTGAATTATTTGCAGGAGGAGGCAGTGAGGGAGGCGTCCACGGAGGAGGAGGAGAGGTGCCAAGAGGCTCCTGGAGGCGGCGCGGCTCCAGGGCGCTGCCTCACCTGCGTCCCGGCCGCTGCGCTCTCGGTCGCCACCTCGGCCCGCGAAGCTCGGGCACAGCTCGCCAGCACCACGAACCCGGAGGGATCGCCTGGCGCGGCCTCCAGCAGCGCCGCCTTCACAGACGTGGTGCCCAGGTCGATGCCAAGCGTGATCGACGGTGCAGCCATGGCTGCGGCGCCAGACGCTGCCAGTATCTGCGGGGCCCTGGTTCCCACCTGCACAGATCGCCCCGGGCGGGGTGGGCGCGGAGGCGGGGCCTCTCCTGACAAGCCTTGGCTTCGCGTCCTGCCATTGGTGGAAGGAGGAGGGCGTGTCTCCTGCAGCTCCCGCAGCCACTCGCAACCCGGAGGCTTCCCGTCTTGCCATTGGTTGAGGAAGCCAGGCCCGGCCCCCAATAGGAGCGGAGGGGCGGTGGCAGGCGGGACTTGAACGCAGCTTCCTTGACCGTGGGGGGTGGGGGGGATTGTCGGTCGCCCCGCTAGCTCAAGTTCACGGAAAGGCGCGGACGCTCTCAGAGCGTCTTTGTCCCTAGACGGGCCTTCATCCTCCCTCACACCCGAGCCCTCCTGCTGACAAAGGACCAGCGCCCGCCCCGTTTCGCCTCGTCAGCCCAGTTTTGTCTAAGACGCATTCAAACTACAACGCCCAGAATGCATCACACCGAGATCTCCGTGCCACGGGTCAGATGACTCGAGTCAGGTGACCTCCGGCCCGCCCTCATACAAAAGCAAACCGGCCAGGGGACCTGTACACCATCCGGAGCTGCACCTGGTGCGAGGTTCTTGTGGCCCTGGTGGTCGTGCCCTCCAGCCTAGGAGGCTCTCAGGTAAGAGCCGGCGCCACGCCCGACAGTCTCCTTCCCGTTGCCCTGGTGGCCCCCCTCGAGGCCAGAGACTGGTACAGACAGGGGGGGAGACAGCCTTCGAGCCCCGCTCAGCCACTGGGGCTCCACTCTTTGCCCGGGAGCAGGAGGTGGTGCCTCCAGTTTCGGCCTCTTGACACTCGATAGCCCCCCGGGTGGAAGGAACCGGCCAGTGGTGAGTGCGAGTGGAGTCGGGGGAATCCCGGGGTGTGAGTGGCTCTAACCCGATGCTGTTCGGCCTCCTGCTCAGTTGCCTCCGCATTTCTGATGGAGGAGTTTGCAGATTGCGCTGGGGTGGGAAGGAGGCGCGGAGAGCGCCGGTTGGAGGGGCTGGCAACCTTGCGGGACGCCTGGGCGAGACAAGACTACGCCCTGTTTACCTACACTCTCAGGCTGGAGGGAGAGAGAACATCTGGGCTTTTGTGGACAAGATTGAGGCTAAGAACAAGCTATACTTTGTACTTGCCAGCAGCCCCAGGCCACAGTGGCCATTTCTTGACGGTAGTGTTTTGCCACCTGTTCTTCATTATCACTCCCTGGGAGCCTTTTGAGGCACTCCCCTAATCATCTTCCCACTATGAAATTTGGAGACATACACCACCCCGCCCTGATAGACTGTTTGTGTATCTTGGCCCTTTGAGGGCACAAGCCATTATGCCATTTAAGGGTTTCTCAGTCCCCAAGAACTGGCTTTCACTCCTGTTGAAAATGCAGTCTTACAAGTTTGTCTGTGAGGTAAGTGTCCGCAGTCCCTGCCTGCTCTTGCATTCGGAAGCGGAAAGCTCTGGGAGGTAAGCAGCACCACGGGTCACGCAGCTGATAAGCGAGGAGGGGAGTGGGTAGTTCTCTCCGGTGCACACACTCCTCGCCACTGTTCATATCACCTCTAAGGGGAGGTGGCCCAGGCTGCAAAAAAAATAAGGACAGGGTGGCTTCAAAAAGAGCATCTTGCAGGAGACTCTGACCCAGATTGTTCCAAAGAAAGATTAAATGTTGGAAGAGGAGAAGGACACTTGGGAGCAGATGACACCTGAGTGAGAATTAGAAGACAATTAGTTAGCAATTCCATGGGAAGAAGGACACATTGCTATCTTGTAGTGTTCCTAAGACCTGGGTTGTAGTGTGTACTTGTTCTGATCTCTTTAAACTGAATGGCTTGCCCTGGGGTCTTTTTCTATGTGCTCTGACACCTTTTCTGCAAGGTGGCTCAGCCTTGAGGGCTCAAGGACTCTTGCTGACCAAGAGCAGCTCAGTCCACATTCCTTGCTTGCAGAGCAAGAGAGGAGCTGTTTGGACCTGATTCTACTCTGGTCCAGAGGAACGCAGCTCTTGTCCCAGGGCGCAAACAGAAACCTTAACTGGAGGGTGCAGGGCTGAAATGAGGCAGTACAGAAGGCTGGAGTGAGAAAGGAACCCTCAGGCGTTTCGTAGACACATGACAAATCCCTGTGGGTTGGGATACATGAAGTCAGATGACCCCTCCCGCGGGTCATCAAACAACGTGGATACCTGAAAGAGGGACTGGGAATGAAGAGGGGCAAGAGACGCAAGAAATGGAGGCAAGGCTGGAGTCTGATCAAGCCTCAATTTATTGAGCAGAAGGCAGGGGCTTAAATACCCTATGGTGGGCGGGTAACATTACATCATATGCTAATAAAGTGTAATGAATACCCAATGGTGGGTAACATTACATCATATGCTAATAAAGTGTAACAAATAGTATCCAATAATCCTGTAGCTACAATATGGAAGAAATGGCAGGTATCAGTCCTCAAACAGGTCCGCATGTAAATGAGGTGCACTTGGATGCCTGGCGCAGGTGTCCAATGAGCATGGCAGCTGCCTGCCACCGAGCACCAATCATCACAAAGGCCAAAGTCAGGCAGGACAATAGGCCAGGGAACATCCGGGAATGGGAAGCTTAAAGACAGCGGACGCGCAGGCCATGGGCTGAGAGACGTGCAGACTCCCACATGTGCAGACTCCCACAGTCAGAGAGCACAGGGCTAAGTCTGGGGCAGGCTCTCCCTGGGAAGGCTAAAGAGTGGAGCGCTGGGTTGCTGAAGCTCCTGGGAGGTGGCCTTCTGGGCCAGTGGAGGCTACAGCAATCAGAAAGGCCCCTGGAGGAGATAAGGACAGGAGGTAGTCAGACAAGCTGGGCAGTCTGGGTGCCTTCTGTGAGAGGGCGGCAAAGGAGGAAGGGGAATAGGGGCCCCTGGAAACTCTTTGAGGGAATTGAAACAAGAATGGGTCCTGGAGGTTTCTACACAGCCCTCGCCCATCTGTCCCCACAGTTTGCAGGCACTCCCAGTGGCAGAGGTGGGAGAGTCTAGACACGGTACCCTGAGGTAGCACATGCAGACCGAGTTCTGGAAATCCAGGCTGACCTGTCCCGTTTGGCCCCTGGCTCCCCTGCTATGTGTTGTGGCCATGAGCCAGTCAGGAAGTTCCAGGGCTGGTCTGGGACCTGCCCATCCCTCTGTCCCCATTGTGTGTGGCCCCTGCCAGTCCTGGGGAGGTGACATTGGCTGCATGAATTCACCCTTGCACTCTCACCCCAACGCAGGAAATTATTAGGGTAGTGGGTTCCCAGACTCAAATGTGGGACCGCCATTTTAATAGCTTATTGGGAAAATAAATAAATAAATAAGACACACACCCCTTCCCAGCTGCTAAAAAATGCATTTCTCTTCTCTGTTAACTGGAGGAAGCAGTTAAAGGGGGAAAAATACAAGTCTTTTGTTCACTTCCTCCTAGTGAGAGGGATCTTACACAAGCCCTTAGCTGCTCAGAGACCGTTTTCCCCCACTTATCAGAGAAAGATAAGCCCTCCAAGCAGGGCCCCCTGCTGAGGCGTGATGCAAACCTATGTCACAGGTGTGAAGGGCAAGACCTTTGTGAGCTGTCCAAGGCCCACTGCTGTGGGCTTGTTGGCTCCCTGGAGCGGAGCTGATCCCACCTCTGTCTGAACACTTGCCCTTTGTTTTCCTCCCCAGTTCTCTGGAATCGAGGAACATGAAGAGGACTTGGCTGGTGGTTTTTATCCTTTTTCCTCTGAAGCTTGTAGAAAAATGTGGTAAGTTTAGAAAAGAGCCCTCATGTGTATAAAGAGGCAACTAGTGACTCTACAGTTAATAACCTTACAGCCGGCTGTTTAGAACTAGCCAGGTCACCTTGGCCCGCTTGCCCCTGGGTACGGTCCAGGGGGGTCCCAAGGAGCTAGATGCCTCGGAAATAAATAGCCTTCTGCCCTGGGCTTCCTGCTATGTTCCGTATCACCAAAGCCAACAGTTGGTACTTAACTCAGGCTCTCTCTCTCTCTCTCCCTCTCTGCCATCATGTCAATGCTGACTCACAGCGACCCCCTGTGGGTTTCCAAGACTGTAATTGTTTACAGGACTAGAAAGCCTGGTCTTTCTCCCTCATAGCTGCTGGTGGTTTTGAACTGCCAACTGTGTTGATTGCAGCCCAACACTTCACTGCTACACCACCAGGGCTTCATTCAATCAGGGTGGCCTAACCATTTGGCACGATGTTGGTAAAGGAGGGTGATGCCCCTATCCTGTGGGCCTCCCAGAGGGAGCTGTGAGTCTTCTAAGATGCTGCAGAGGCAGGCGAAGTAGCCAGCCATCATGAACTTGGCCCTGCCAGGCACAGACAGCCTTCGGAGTCTGCCCTTGCCTCCGAGAGGGACTGAAGAGCAAGGTGCAGAGACCTGGGGCCCCATAGCATGCAGGCTGCTTGTCAGGGAATTCTTTAGGGTTTGCTCATCCTTGTGAGAACTGACCTTCCCACAGGCCTCTCGGAGGCCCACGTTGTTTCAGCACTTCTCCCACGGCCCCAAACATCTCTGGAATCCCTTCTCAAGAAGAGCTGTGTTTAGCTCTCCCTGGGCTGTAGCCAAGCTCCCATATGGCTTATACTTCCTAATCGAGGACTCTCATCCGTACCGCCCACCACCGATGCCAATACCATGGTAGTGTCCCAAGAGTCATGCACAAGGCTGTGCTGTTAACCTGCGGTATCTCTGAGGTAACAATGTTCATCTGATCAGCCCAGCCAGGGTTGTCACCCAGCCACGTACTTGGCAGGCACACCTATGAATGGCCGTTTCTGAGAAAGAAAAAGGTCCTTTGTACCCTGCAGCGCGCCGCTTTTAAAAACCTCCCGGCGCCAGAGCCTCACCCCAGGCCTCCGGAAGCCTTGTTCTATCTGACTGTTCTCTGAGCCTTCGGAAGCCTTGTTCTATCTGACTGTTCTCTGAGCCTTCGCGGCACAGTGGGCTGGCGAGGCCAGCCGTTCTCCCCGGGAGAGAGACCAGGCTCTGTTCCCAAAAAGATTCACAGCCTCAGAATCCCCGCTGCGCTGCTCTGCCCCGGGTTCTGTATGAGTTAGGGTGGGCTTTGAGGACTGTGCCTGTTTCATTTGGATCCTGCGTTAATTCGAATGCTTCCCTGGAAGAGAACTGCCCATCCCACCGCTGCCAGCTCTGATTACATGAAGGGAAGCTGAGGCCCGCGGCAGGGAGAAGACATTCCCAGAGCCACACAGCTGGGGCCAGCTCCGTTGTGTCTCTCTGCCTTCTCTCATGAGCAGCATTGTGAAAGAGTGAAAGCTACATCAGCATCTGGGGTCTGAAAGTGGGTGTCACATCCCCCACTGCTGGGTGCTGGGGAGTGATAATTGAGGGGGGTCATTGAGCTACCTGGCCTTCAGAGTTTTTGCCTCTGAACATCTTTGGTGGCCCAGCGGCAAGAACCTGACCTTTAGACCAGATGGGCCTAGGTTCGAATCCTGCCTCTACCATTCCTGAGCCCGTGGGCAAGATCTGTTCCGTTTTGAGATGCTCTCTTTCCTTATTTCAAAGCAGACATAATCATGCCCCCCCCCCCCATGTGGGGGTTTGAGATTGGGAGAGTGTGGTAGCCGACATGCGGTGGGGTGCACAGTGGAAGAGGTCCCCAAGCAAGCACTGTTGAGTTGGTTCGGACGCGTGGTAGAGGAAATTCTTGGCCTTCAGGGCTTTACATGCTTTCTTGCTTGCTTTCCCTCCTTCCTGTGTATGTCTCTGGAGAACTACCCCACAATGGGCTGCTAACCACAGGTCAGCGGTTCAAACCCACCAACCGCTTCTCGGGAGAAAGATGAGACTCTCTGCGCCCATAAAAATTGACAGTGCGCAGGGTCCCCGTGCGTGAATCCGAATCAGTCCGATGGCAGTGGCTTGGCTCAGGCTGGACTCTTCACAGAAGCAGTGCCCCGGGCCGACCTCCCGTGCAGCCTTGGGGCGGGGTCCACGTAAGGACCTCGAGGTCAGCAGCCGATCACACAAGGCTTGCGCCACCCAAGCTCCTGAGATGTCCACAAGGATTCGTTAATAAGTGTTGGGTTTAAAAAACAGACACGCTTTAGAGGGAACTTGGTGGGTCTCGCTACCGTTCATTTGGTAATTTTCACATGGCCCCACCTAGAGTCATATAGGGTCGCTGTGAGTTGGCCTGGACTCGATGGCAGTGAAGACCTAGAGCCAACTTCAACACGGGCTTTCCCGTGACACGATGCCAGCTTCCTGTCTGGGACTGGACATGTCCTGCCATGGGGGCCTGATGGCCCTAACAGTAACCATCCACGACTTAACGCTCGGTGCATGCCGGGCCGCTCAGACGAGTGCGTCACACACATCACATTCTCTCTTCACAACAACCAGGAGATCTGACTGGCAACTCTTCCCATTTCACAGGTGAGAAAACTGAGGTCTGGAGAGCTGATGTACCTCTCCCACTGTCGCAGAGGTCAGGAATGTCGGGGTCAGGCTCCAACTGTGTGACTTCATAGGCCAGTCTCTCAGCTGCTGAGCTCTGCTGTCTTCTCTGGTGCGAAGCAGAGGGGAACGGAAAAAGCCCGTTGCCTCTCTTCAAATGCAAAGACAGGGAGAGCTGGGGCCCTGCAGATGCACCGTGAGGAGCATTGGAAGACCCATCACCTTTAATAATTATAAACGGGGCTGCTAACCCTCAGGTCAGCAGTTCAAAACCACCAGCCACCCTACAGGAGAAAGACAAGGCTTTCTACTCCTGTGAAGAGTTACAATCTCGGAAACCCACAGGGGCACTTCTACCCTGTCCCATATGAGTCGATACCGATGCCCTGCCAGTGAGTTTGAGTTTGGAGATAGGTGGCTTCTCTCCCAATAAGACCCCCTAAGGAGTAGTGCCCTAGACAGTCTCTTGTGAGGAACATAGAGATGGGAATGTGTTTCTCCCACGGTGGCCTCAGCTCCTTGGGGAAGTTTATCATGCATAGCCATAGGAAGCTGTACTTGCCCAGCAAGCCCAGGATAAAGCCTCACGTTGCTGTCCAAGCAGGGAACCCAGGAAAGGCGGGGCAAGGCTGAGCCCTGCCTGCAGACCCTGAAGCTACATACAATGGAGGGACCAGCCCCCTCTGCTCTTAGCAGCTTGACCTGAGCTAGGACCAGGGTGGGATTAGCTCCACCTGAGGGACCCAGGCCGATAGAAGTAGCCAAGGTGGGAACCTGGACTCTTCAGCCTGGAGACTGGCCATCTTGAAATGGCACTGGCCCGGCAGACACTGCTCAGACACAGTCTGAGAGACACCAGGTCACAGAGGTGGGCCCAGCAGAGAGGGAGAAACCACTAAGGAGGGATGTCGAGGAGGGAGAGTTGAACCCCGGCATCTAAAATGTCAGCTCTCTGTTCCTTATTGTCTGCCTCTGAGGTCAGGGTCAAGGTGGGCCAGGGCCTTGCCTGTAGGCTCAACCCCTTCAAGGACCATCTGAATCAGAGTTCAGCCCTGTGGGTCCCCTTCCCCCCTCCAGTCTAGATTCATGGTCATGACCTCCAGCTGAGGCCATGAGTCAGACAGGTGAGAGGGAGGTAGGGAAGGGCCGGCATGTGAGCTGCCCCAAACTCAGGGACAGGTCAGGGAAGTGAACTTGGTCTTGCTCTCTGGTCAGGTTGCCCACCGTCTTGACCACCTGCGCCTGCTTCATTCCTCACCTATGTAGCCCCCACCTCTCTTGAGCACAGGGAGGGGCCTGGGCCAGCTGCTCACGTCTGTCAGAGGAGGCTCACGTCTGCATTTTCCATACCCACCTCATGACTTGAGCTCCTTTGAGACAGTTTGGGCGTGGGGCCCATGGCTCTCAAATTGTCCCTGAGAGCCTCAGCCCCAGAGCGTGTCGGTGAGGAAGAGGCCGAGGCCGGAGCACTTCCCACTCAGGCCTGTGCCCTCCCCGGCTGGACCTCGGTCTCAGGCCACATCACAAAGAACACCCGGAGGACTTGGGTGTCCAGTCCCCCCTCTCCACCTCTCAGACCCCCTGGGCCTTCACCTAGAAAGGGGGCCGTCTTGAGTCTGCTCATGAATTCAGCTGTACAGGAGTGAGGGGAGTGTTTTGCCCCGGTTCCTCGGGACCCCCACCCTACCCCGAGTTCTCCGATCTAATTAATGCCTCACGCTGTTGATTTGGGTCCCGACAGAGTCAACCGTCGACTTCACCGTCCCACCTGTGGTCAGGCTGGAAAATGGCAGCTCCACCAATGTCACCATCACCCTACAGTGAGTGCCCCACCCGGCTCTGTCCCCGGCCTACCCGCTCTCCCCAGGGCCGGCCCCTGGGTGAGGCTCTTGGATCCACGTGAGGTGCTAGCCCCAGGCTGCACACCGAAGTCCCAAAGTCTGCCTCCCATGCCCCTGCTGAATCCTCGCTTCTGTTGGGATGAGGACGACAGGGGGCTTATCCCCAGAGACCGGGGTGAGAGGAGTCCTTGAGTGACGAGTGGCGGATGCTACACTTCAGAGTGGGCTTTGCTGAGGCTTTAAAGTTGACGAGAACCCCGATCGGAGCAGAACATCCAGAGCCCAAAACAGAAGTGGCTGCGCTTCTCATGCCTTTGTCCAGAGAGCCTCCCTCACTGACCTCCACTGGTGTGGGTGTGAGGGTCCTTTTCCTTCTGTCTGCCTCGCCCTACTCCGGCCTCCCAGCCATGAGCATTCCCAAAGATTGGACAAGGAGCCCCACCCCTTTCTCCCAGCCCCTCCCCTTCCTTACCCCTCTCATCTGATCTCAAGACAAACCTTCGGTACCACCTGACAGGCTTTGCTCCGGCTGTCTGTGCACATCCACACCTTATAGTTCCTCTTTTTTTTCCCCCCTTCTTTTTCTTTTTTTGAACTATGTATTGGGACTGGGGAAGGCTTACAGAGAAAATCATCATTCTGACATTCAGCAATCCATATACACTTTGTTTCAACTCATCCACTGCCGTCCCCTCAGGGTGCCATCACCCATCCTGCTTCCCCCGGGTCTCCTGTTCCCATCCCTCCCCCTTTCCTCACCCTCTGCACTTTGTCCTCGAGTCAGTGCTGCCCGACTGATCTTAAATGGTTGATTATTCTAATACGGGGGGTGAGTCCAGCTTCCGACCTAAAGGGTGATGAAGGACCAATCTCTGTCCAACCCATTAAGCCTGGTACCTTTTATGATGTTGAGTTCTGTTCCCCGGAATCTGCTTTTCAGAGCAGTTGGTTGTGGTGGCCAGGCACCATCTAGTTCTTCTGGTCTCAGGGTCATGGAGGCTGAGGTTTGAGTGGTCCGAAGACAATTGCTTCCATGCATCTTTGATTGTCATTACCCCTCCCTGCTCCAGACGGCGAAAGATCAATAGTTGCCCCTTAGAGGCCTAGCTGCTCATGAACTTTTACAACCTCAGTCACTACATGCCGAAGTACGATGTGGAACATGGTTTTGTGAACAGACACCTTGTAATTCCTACAGGTTGTCCTCGGAGCCCAGATTTAAGGCCCCTAAGGTTGCTCCCAGCCTGCACATCCACTTCATCCACCCAGACATCTCCCAGCTCCCGAGGGACATGCTGCTCCTTCATGCTTCTGTCAGTCAGAGTCTGACCTTCCCACAAGGCCCTGCCCATGCCTGGGCACCTCCTTCAGCATTCACAGCCAACTCTATCGTTTCATGTCATCACCCGCCCCTCTGCCCATGTCCTCTTGTCTCTGGTTAGAAGCTAGAAGTCCCCTAAGCTGCCCTGCATGACATGATAATGAAGCACGTACCGTCTCCTGACTCTGACAACTTGAGAAATGGCATGACCAGAATGGCATCCCTCGGGCAGGCTCGCGGCAATCCCATTTCCTAGACATAACCAGCCTCTCGTTCTCCACAGGCATCCGTTAAATGCAACCCTGGTGATCACGTTTGAAATCACGTATCGTTCAAAAAACATCACTATCCTTGAGCTCCCGCAGGAAGTAAGTAGCTGATCTGACTGGCGGGTGGGAAGACGCCGAGTCATACCACGCGTTCTAACTGAGAACCTGTGGATGTAGGCACCTCACCCTGGACTGCACCCGCTCCCTCAGGATAGAAGGCTGTGATCTGGACCTGTGGGCCTCTCTGGAGATGAATGTCTTGTGCCTTTCCTGTCTGGGTGGACTTGGGAAGGCAGTGGTAGGAAAGGGGGCACCACTCGGTTCTGAGGACAGAGAAGACATTCTTGAGATCGTTTTCTAAGACCACTCAAGGGCATTGGGTGTGCCCGCAGCATTAGTCTTGCGGGGAAACCACTTAGAAAATACAAGACCCCTGGCGTCTTCCCAGACCCCCTCATTCAAAATCTGCATATTCATAAGCAAGATCCCCAAATGATCCGGTCCGCATGAAAGCCTGGGAAGCACTGTTCTGAGACCCCAGGGGTTCCGGTCACTTTCGGGAACAAGTGCCAGAGTCTGCCCAGCTCAGCAGCAATGACTAATCATAGCTGTCAGGTGCTCAAGTCTGCTCCCACGATCAAGTCCTGGGGTGGTGCCCACCAGAAGGCTGGAGGAGGGAGGGGGAAGGCACGCAGAGGAACCTTGGAAGAAAGGCCTGGTGATCTCCTGCCCAAAAAGCCAGCCCTTGGGAACCCAAAGCAGCACGATTCCACTGGGGCACACACGGGATCACCATGAGCTGGCATCAGCTCGATGGCACCTGGTTTTCACTTCCACATGACCAGGTTTCGGAGCCAGGAACCATCCAATGGGACCAGGGACAAAAGCACAAACGGAGGTGCCAATGCAGGGACACTGTGCAGAGATTAAGGGCTGCAAACAAACAGGAGGTCGGCGAGCCATGGCATGCAGCCTCTGCGTTTGTAGAGCTGGGCTGTGAGCCAGCTCCGAGCCCTCTAGCAGGTAGGCATGCCCTCCTGACGTGGGCGCAGCCTCAGGCGTCTGCCAGGAAAGCTTCAGCGTGGATGGAGCTAGTTAGCAATTAACGCGGAAAGAAGTCAGGCAGACACAAGAAGACAGATGTGGTGTGGTCCCACCTCAAGGGGGCGCCTCCAGAAGGTCCTGGAACATTCCAGCATCTTTGCATTCCATTTTTCCATGAACTCATCTCTGAAATCTATAGACTCCAGAGAGGCTCAAGTTCATTAGCAGATGCGTGGGCCAGAGAGTGGGAAGAAGAGGGAGCCCACTTCTCTCGGATCCATCTCCTCCCACTTTGAAGAAGGGGTTTCATGAGTGGCATGGTGAAGCACCTGGCTGCTCACCTAAAGACCAGCAGTTCAAACCCACCCAGAAGTACCTCGGAAGAACAGCTTGGTGTTCTGCTTCTGAAAGGGCCTCACATGAAAGCGTGATGGAGCGTCTCCTGTGACACACGGGTTGCCATGAAGCAGAAATGACCCCAGCAACTGGCACCACACCCAACAAAGAAACAAACTCACTGCCATCGCGTCCATGCTGACTTTTGGTGGCCGTATAGGACAGGGTAGAACTGTCCCTGGGGTCTCCAAGGCTGTCACTGTATGGGAGTAGAAAGCCCCCTCCTCCTGTGGAGCGGCTGGTGGTTTCCAAATTGCTGACCTTGCAGATCACAGCCCAACACAACCACTCCGCCACCAGGGCTCCACCGGTACGGGTGTGATAAATACTCAAACAGCATTGCCAGGGCAATTGATTAAAAATAATAAGAAAAGGAAAAAAAACTAGGTGACAGGATGCAGGCCAGAAAGTGGGCTCCTGCAGGCACTTAAACCATTTCAGTGGTTTGGGGAAAACCGCCTCATTGCTGGTGTTAAGACCCCAAGACAGTGCTTCCAGGCTCCTCACAAGGAAGCCACATAAATCAGGGGTGCAGCATCCGAGTAGGACTTCTGGGGCTGGGGTTCTCGGTACCCAGCAGGTAGGAAGGGTGGCCTAGGAGCACAAACCAGTTTGATTCAGAGTATCGCCTACCTCCCAGCCACTGTGAGGAGGAAGCTATGAGAGCCTCGGGAGGGCAGGGGAGGGAGCTTCTGTCGCAGGCAGCCCCCTGGCCCTCTTCTGTGGAGCAGAGCTTTGGGGGGCTCAGGAGGCAGAATTGAAGTCTCGACTGTCCTCCCTACGGAGCACTGGGTGTCATCACGTGGCAGCCAGGCCCGGAGCAGCCCTCCTCCTGTGACTGCCAACAAGTCCAGTAGTGAAGGGAGGAGAAGCAATACCGTCATCATGGAACGGTGGTGACAAACCAAGAGCCCAAGCCCACGGCCCTCAAGTCCTCCCCGCTCAATGAGACCTGAGAGCGCCGAGTAGAATGGCTCTGTCGTGTTTCCAAAAGCCGGGATCTCTGCAGGAGCAGACAGCCTCCTCTTCCGCCCGTGGAGCAGCTGGCGAGTTTATACTGCCAGCCTTGCAGTTAGCTGTGGAAGTAAGGACTTAGGCTTGTTGTGTGCCCAGCGTCACTACCTGCAGACTCCGATTCATGTGGGCCCAAGGAGGACGGGGCTCTACTGGGGTGTCCAGCGCGCACTTCCTCGCTTCCGGTCTGCAGCTGGACATGTTAACCCTTAGCAACACCCGGGATGCATTCATAGCAACCCTGTGAGATGGGCACTGGTGTAGTCCCCATTTTACAGATAGCCAACTGAGACTGAGAGCTTGAGTGGCTCCCTGAGATCACACAGCTGGTCAGACGGGGAGAGCCTGAGGGTAGGACCCCATTGTCTACTGGGAAGTAGAAGAAGGAGAGGGAGTTTGAGACGGTGGGTTGGCTCAAAGTTTCTCCCAAAGGCCAGGATGCTAGCTCTCTGCCTCTCCATTCCCTGGTGGCTAGCCCAGAGCTGGGCACCCTGGGCCCCTCCAGAACTGGATGGGGCACCCGAGCAAGCCTAGTCTCCCTAACAGGTGGTGGTACCTCCCAGAGCCGCCAATTCATCTTTTCAAGTGACCTCTCAAAACGTCGGGCAGGTCACCGTGTATCTGCACCGAAATCATTCTAACCAGACCGGGTAGGTGAGCCTCAGCCCAGCTGGGCTTTGTGCGGGAGGCGGCCGTGGTGGGGCTGGGGTGTTGTGGGTCATCCTTCAGAGGCCCAGCCTCGGCTCATCCCTGCCCCCACATGCCTTTGCAGCCCCCGGATCCGCTTCCTGGTCGTCCACAGCAACGTCGTGGGCATCATCAACCAGGTGATCGGCTGGATCTACTTTGTGGCCTGGTCCATCTCCTTCTACCCACAGGTGTTCAAGAACTGGAGGCGGAGAAGGTAACCCACCCAGCTCCCTGTGTCGGTTCGCTCCAGGCAGCTAGGAATGAGGCTTGCTGGCAGCCCCACTCTGCTGCCCGCCTGACATTTCTAGAAACGTGTCCCCGTGTGGAAGCTCGCAGCGCTGAGAGCCTGGGATGGGACTCTGGAACTGGGCGTTTGGTCCCTGGCTGAGTTTATCCCTCCTGGTACCCTGTCACACGGAGACTGCCAAGAACCCACCTCTGTGCTACCTGAAACCACAGGAAGGAGCGGGGTACATTAAGCGTGCTTACCCAGGCAAAGCAGCCCAGGACAGGCTCGGCTCACACCCCTCCTGTAGTGCAGGACAGGTTAGCTTTTGCCCAAAACATCACCAACACTAAAGACCAAGGTATGGCATTGTGCCTTTCGATGGCGAGGTCTAGTGGGAAGTGGTCCCCTCCGTTAAGTCTGTGCTAGGGGAAGGCCAGCCGCAAAGGGGGCAAGTTGGGAGCCCATTGTCTTAAGAACTCCTTGCAGAGCAGGCAGGCGGGCAGGTTGGCCCAGGCACTTCCTGGAACGCGGGGCTCAACCTGGCCTTGGGGTATGAGATCCGGGTCCCTTCTAAAGATTCAGCTGCCACCTGCCACCCTGGGGAATCCCAGATAGGAGGCTCCCCAGCGAGAGGGGTGAAGCACGCAGGGCACATCTTCCCCGGGCTCCAGGCTCTGAGCACTCCCTTCCCCCGACCAGCCCTAGCCTGATGAGCAAGTGGTGTAGCAGGGGGCCACCCATCAGTCCGGCCAGGACCCCAAAGCCGTGTGCACCTTTGCCTCACGTGGCCCTGCGGACACCCAGGGGAGAATGTCTGTGGGCCTGCCTCCCTGAACTCTCATCTCCCCAGCTCCCAGCACCTTGTCCTATCCCCAGGCTGTCCAGCAGTGGGTGCCCACCTCTGCCCTTGAGGGAGCCCTGCTGCCACCCTCACCTGGGCTCCTCAGGCCCGCCAGGCCCGTCCAGCCAGTCAGGTGGTCCCACTGAGCGAGCTGAGCCTTGGAGCAGGGAGCGAAACCGGCCCCTCCTCGGACGATGGTGTGCCTGCTGGTGCCTGTCGGAGACTCTAGGCAGGCGTTGGGGTGGGATGGAGGGAGGGTGTTTGGTGAACAGCTGCCAACTCTGCACTCCCCTCGGGTGTCTCCAGCCCGCACCGGGGCCTCTTCCAGCATCCACCTCTGTCTGTCCAGTTGAGCGAGGTCTTTGGTCCTTCCTACCTCACCCCTGCAGCCACTCCACCCTGTGAGCCTATAGCAGTGGTTCTCAACCTGTAGGTCACGACCCCTTTGGGAGTCAAACAACCCTTTCACAGGGGCCGCCCAATACATAACAGTAGCAAAATGACAGGAAGTAGCAACAAAAATAATTTTATGGTTGGGGGTCACCACCACATGAGGAAATATATGAGAGGGTTGCGGCATTAGGAAGGTGGAGAACCACTGGCCTACAGGCTGCTGAGCTGGGAGCCAGGCTGCATGGTACTTCCTTCCGCAAGAGGCCTCCTGACTTCCCTCTGGAAGCAGGTGGGCAGGGACTGGGGGGGCGTGACAGTGCTTGGTAGGGCCAAGCCCTCCTTCAGCTGACCTCTCCCTTCTGCTCAGCCCCCCTCCTGGGGCCCCAGGTCTGGTCTCACCTTCTGCCCCGCTTTTCCCACCCTCCCCCACCCAGTGTTGTCGGCCTGAGCTTCGACTTCGTGGCCCTGAACCTGATGGGCTTCGTGGCCTACAGCGTGTTCAACATAGGCCTCCTCTGGGTACCTGCCATCAAGGTAAGGCCCCCGCGCGCGCGCGTGCAGCCCTCAGCCTGCCTGGCCAAGGGGTGGTCTGGCTGCTCCTCACCACCCACTTTCTCTCCCCCCCCACCCCCACCCCCCTCCCAACAGGAGCAGTTTCTCCTCAAATACCCCAATGGGGTGAACCCCGTGGACACTAACGACGTCTTCTTCAGCCTGCACGCGGTCGTCCTCACACTAGTGGTCATCCTGCAGTGCTTCCTGTACGAGGTCAGGCCCTGCCCCTCCCCGCCCTATGTAGAAGCCAGGGCCTGACGCTGCTGTCCGAGTGCCCGGCACAGGCACTGTGGGGGAGCGGTGCAGGGGGCAGTGCAGCCCAGAGGGTGAGGGCTAATGGGATGCATGAGGTCTAGGGGCCACTGAGTGGGTGGCGAGGCCGGGGTCCAGGGTGCCAGTTCGGGGAGCAGGCCTGAGGCAGGTCTGAGTGCTAGGCTGGGTATTTGGACCCGGTCTTGTTGGCCACAGGCCCCCCAGCATGTGAGAGCCTGGTTAGGGCTGCGGACCACGGCTTCCCTCTCACTTCCTACGTGGGTGGGCACCCCTGCGCCACACAACTGTTGGCCTTTTTGGGAAACCGTGAGGTTTTTGTCCTCTTTGCTCTGAAGCCCAAGTGAGGGTCGCGAGGAAGGTTGGGCTGAGGACAGACTGCAGAGATGGGCAGGGTGGAGGCAGGGCTGGGAGGAGGTGGAGGGCAGTCTCCCCAGAATGAGCGTGGAGCAGGCCCCCAGTCCTGCAGAGGGCAGCTGAACTCTCCAAGCTGCACTGAAGCGGAAACACCCTAGATAGCAAAAAGCGTGTGATCGGTGCAGGACGGATACACACACCCCCTCCGCTGGAAACCTGGTACCTTGTCCCAGGCGGCCATCCACGCACTCTGACTACAGGGCTCCCCGTGTGTCTGCCTGCCCGCCTCTGCCTCTCCGCCACAGCCCCCAAGCGGGCCTCCCCAGCACAGGCTGCGCCAGGGCCAGCGTCCAGCCCTCCCCTCTTCGTGAGCCTGACCTGGCCCGGGCAGTCCCCCACCTGAGGCCCTGCCGTGGCTCCCTGTGCCCCTGACCACGTGCCCCTCGCCCTTTGCGCCTCAGCGAGGCTCCCAGCGCGTGTCGTGGCCTGCCGTCGGCTTCCTGGCGCTCGCCTGCCTCTTTGCTCTCATCACCATGCTGGTGGCCGCAGCCGGAGCCGCCACCTGGCTGCAGTTTCTCTTCTGCTTCTCCTACATCAAGCTGGCCGTCACATTGGTCAAGTACTTTCCACAGGTACCTTCGTGCTCATGTGTGGGGTGGTGGGGAAGCCCTGCGGCCTCGGGCAGCTCCAAGGGAGAGGAGAGCTGGGGGTGGAAGCCAGAGCCCAGCAGGTGCAGCGCAGGGCACTGTGGGTCATGACTGCTGCCTGTTCTGTGGCGCTCAGCAGGCCAAGGAAGCTGGTGGTATAGACGTCTCTGACCTCACCCTCCACCTGGCCATCCCCCCTCTTCCTCATGCCACTGCCCATTGTTAGCTTAACAAGGGATCCCCTGGCACAGAACACTAGGACCATTGGAAAGGTTCCACTCCCTCCCCTGCCGGGATGTCTCCCAGAGACTTCCCTGGGGGCCGAGGGCTCCGCCTTGCTCAGATACAGCATTCCCTCCCCAAGGGCCCGCTGCATCAGTGGGGGAGACCAGTCCCAACAGCCCGGGACAGGGTCAGGTGTGCAGTGAGGACACAGTAAAATCCTCACCTTCTACCCAACAGACCCAGGTTTGCTTCCTAGCCAGTGAACCTTGTGCACAAAGACCACCTCTCTGCCAGTGGAGGCCCAAGTGTTGCTCAGAAGCGTCCAGTTTAAGACAAACCAGGAGGATGGCCTGGCGACCCATCTCCGACAGTGAGCTAGCCGGATCTGGTCTGAGCCGGTGTCCTGGGCAGGGAGACACCGCATGCTGGGGACCTGCTGAACAGCAGCTGCAGGCAGTCCCCGCCCTTCATCTAGGGCTCAGGGACCTATGTGGCTCACCCCACCCCAAGGAAGAAGCCCCTTCCTGGCCTCTCCAACTCTAGGAACTTGGGGCTCCTTGGGCTCAAATGAAGGAGAGTGTTTGGGCTGGGGGGTGAGGTGGGTTCTTAGAGAACGTGGAAGCAGAAGCAGACCCCCAAGGGTGAGATCGCCTTGCACCGTGGACAGAGGAGCAGAGACACTGCATGGGCAGCCTGCACAAAGACCCCTTTACCAGGGGCCTTGGGGAGGCAGCGAGGAGCCTTGGGTGGGCTGAGCGTGTTGTGGAGACAGGGAGAGACTGAGGGAAACGGCCTGCCCCAAGGCTGGAGAGGAAGGCTTCTGAGTAGGGGGAGGCCGGAGCCCCGGTGGAGGAAGTTGAGGATGGTGTGGGACTCGGAGGTGGCAGCAGGTGTAGAACAGGGTGGGAGACAAAGGAGGCGCCTGCCCATTGGCCAACAGAGGATCTCCTTCCTCGGGCCGTAGGATTCTCTGTCAGAGAATTCCCGGAAGGAGGTGGGGCTCAGGCAACAGGAGGGGGTTGGTGTCCCAGGGCACTAGTCCACCGAGGCCGGCCAGCGCTGAGGAAGCAACAGGTCCACCTGAGATGGCCCAGCTCAGATGAGGGAGCTGGGGTTCTCGGCCCAGGGGCCTCAACGTAACACCAAGTCTAAGCTGGTGGGCCCCACCGCCACCCCCCTTCTGGGGAGAATGGAAGTGAGAAGCAAGATGAAAGTAGCTGCAAACCAGGGCCCAAACTTTGACTCCCAACACTGTGCACACCACACACACACCACCACCACTGCTGCTGGTGCTGTGAGGTGCAGGCAAGGACTGAGAAGGCTGCTGGCTGTTCATGGAGATGAACCCTGCGCCCGGCCCTAGCTGTCCCCTCACCCACGCACAGCAGGACCCAGAGCTCAGTGTCCTTGGCTACAGCTCCAGCACGTGGGTGGTGGAATCAGAGACACGCTTGTGTGGAGCCGGGCCGGGGGTGTGAGGGCAGGCCCCCTCACCGGCCTCTGTCTGTCGTCCGTCGTCTGTCCAGGCCTACATGAACTTTTATTACAAAAGCACCGAGGGCTGGAGCATTGGCAACGTGCTCCTGGACTTCACCGGGGGCAGCTTCAGCCTCCTCCAGATGTCCCTGCAGTCCTACAACAATGGTGAGCCCGCCACCAGCTCCCCACCCAGCGGGCCCTCTGGGACCCTGGCCAGCCCTGCGCCCTGGGGACCCAAGCCTCCAAGGGGGACTCTGAGGGGTGGCTGCAGCGGGTGGAGTTGTTGTGACCAGGGCAGATAAGCCCGCAGCCCTACTGTGCCCCAGCTGCTTTGGGGGCTGCCGGCTTATATCCGGGATTGTCCCCCTGTGACTCTCCACAGACCAGTGGACGCTAATCTTCGGGGACCCAACCAAGTTTGGCCTCGGAGTCTTCTCCATCATCTTCGATGTTGTCTTCTTCATCCAGCACTTCTGTTTGTACAAGAAGAAACCAGGGTACGACCAGCTGGACTAGCACGGGCGCCCGGCGGGCACGGCTCCAGCCCTGGGCGCTGGTGGGGGAAGGCTCCCCAGCGGTGAAGGCCAGCGAAGCGGGCTGGTGGGCAGAGCTGGTTCAAAGCCAGCCTGGAACGGTATTCTTCCTTGGGCCCGCACCTTAAAACACCAACCTGCCTGCCTTCGCCCAGGATCCCTCCTGGGCCCCGAGGAACCTCTGCTTGGACCAGGCACCTGACTTCCAAGACTCAAAAGCCAGACTGCCGGTGGCCCCAGGGGTCTCAGTGCCTCCCGGCCAGGCCTCTCCTCCTGCATCTTGATGCCGCCATCTCTCTTTTCTTTAAGGCTTCAGGCAGCACACACGGGTTCCAACAGCCGCCCCCAGCAGGACATGGTGCTGAGCTCGGAGTCAAGGCGGGGCCCTACACAGCCAGTGTTTCTGGGAGCAGCATGAGGGCTGACCTTGCAGCCCGGAGAACCCAGGTCGTGCACTGCTGCCACTGCTGTTCCCCGAGAGCAAGTGGCCAGGTGCTGTGGCTGGTGGACCCTGAGGTGCTGGTGCTGGTGGCGGAGGGATTAGGCTTTGGGGCTCTTCCTCTGAAGGCCACATTCTGAGCACCCATGTTCCTGACATGCACTCTTGACGACATAATGCAGCTTCCAGGCTGGCAGTAGCCAGGGGCCAGACACGCTATTCCTCAGCCCTGAGTGGCCCGGCCCACCACATAGGTTCTGGCCTGGATTCGCACCCCTTTGTCACTCGGGGTCAGCTCCTCCTCCTAACCCTTCCTGAATTTGGGGGAGGGATGTTTTGGGAGTGAATGACTAACCGTCTCTTGCCTTGTCGCGTCCACGTCCCTGAGTCAGGACTGGGGGCCATCGGGGCCCCTCTTTACCCTGCACCTGTGGTGCAGGACACACACCCACAACCAGCCAGTGCCTCAGAAGCCCTTTAAACCTGCCAAAGGCAGGTAGCAGTGCTCTCCCAGGCCCCAGGCCCCTATCTGAGATGCACCACTGGTGTCGGCTCTGGAGGGACCTCCGATAAGGACTGGAGACCCTTACACAGTGCCAGTCCCCGCGGGCCCAGCCTGCTTCCTGAGCTGGGTCCTCATACCTGAGCCTTTGTGCCTCCTGTGTTGGGGGTGTGGGGTTCTGGGACGTGCCTTGAGTTTGTAATCTACTCTTAGACCTCTCCACCCTAAGGTCAAAGGGCTTGTGTCCTTGATTAAAGCCAGCCTGTCTGCTTTCATCTGCTCTAAGCATTGGCTCGAGGTAGGAGGAAGGTGTGTGGACCAATAGAACCCAGTCCCTGGGGCCTGGGACAATGGCCTGCCTAGCTTCTTGGTAAGGAAGGGCACAGGGTCCAGCTCACCGAATGCAGTCACCAACCCAGCCCTGTCACACCAGACGTCTGCTGGCTCCTTGGAGCCTCACCAGGTAGGTCTCCCAAGTACTGTGTCCTGGTCATTATTGCTAAGACTTCAGGTGGGAGGAGGGCTTCTAAAAGCCACCCCACCCCACCCTCGCCAGTGTAGCAGCTACCCAGGGGCTTAGCATCCCATTTCCCCCTGAAGCAGGAACTTTTGTCTGGACCGTCCAGTGATTTCTTTTAATGTGGGATTATGGGATGCTTTGGGGCCTGGCACACCCACTTTTAAATGGGAGCTAGCCCCTGAAAGTCCAAAATCTTGCATTTCGTGGAAAATTTGATCTGGCCATACAAGGTGGGCCTGCCTTCCTACCTGGCCACAGTGTCCCGGGCCGGCCAGCTCAGGACAAAGAGAAACTCACCCCCACCCTCAGGGGGCAAAGCTCAGCCCTCAGAACCTGGAAGGCCATTGTTCTCCATAGGACATACTGCCCCGTGCGTTCCTGAGACTACGTCTTTACAGCAGTGAAAACCCCATCTCTCTCCCGAGAGGCGCAGCCTTAGCTATGGGAAAGCAAGTGTTCTAAGGGTCTCTAGGTGCAAGGTCCCTCCTGAGTAGGAGCTGATGCTAAGTGACACAGGGGAAGTTGAGGACACTCTCTGGGCTCTTCTGGGACACCCCAAAGACTACATACACCAGGCTCCCCCCCTCCATCCCCAGGTGTCACTTGTGCTCATTGGGCTCCACTTGGACTTCCCAGACAGGCAGCCTGGCAGAAGCTGGACTTCACCCAGGTCAGCCACCCTAAAGCCGGAGTTCTAGCCCCCAGCCCCCTCACCCATGCTGCAACGAAGACCCTTTGTGGATCCCAGGTGGTTTATTATGGGGGTGGTGCGTTGCCACATGGGCCCTGTCCACTCTGGCTTCAGTAGGCTTGTTCATTTGCTAGGGATGGTCACCACCCCAGGGTGAAGTAATAAGCCGAGGTCAAGAGACGGCACCTCCATATAGTAAGATAAAAACACTCTGTATCAAAGTTGCCATTACAAAAAAATACAAAAGTTAAACTGACAGGCATAGCAGAAATTGTCGATCCTGAGGGCTGCCCTGAAATGTCAGCCTTGAACTTCATGTGGATCCTGTAAGCAGGTGAACCCTGGGAAGCCAGAGTTCCCGGTGGGGTGGGTGGGGGGTGGCAGGTGCGAGGGGCGACCCTCTGCAGTGCCTGTGGTAGTGTGTGGAACCTGGGGCCGGGCACTGCAGAGCTTACACACAGAGGACAGGCCCGGCCCGTCCGTCCATTTTCTGGCATGTTGGCAGCTCTTGGGAAGGGGTGTCTCCCCACTTGCCAGGGTCACTGGCGACAGCTCAGCTCCAGGCCGTTTCCAGTCCTGTGTCCAGTCCAAGAGAGGAAACTGGTCTCAGGACCTCAGAGGCGGGAAGAGGAGGCCTGGGTCAGGTCTGAGCAGCGGCTGGGACGCGGTGGGGGCAGACGGGGTGGAAGTGGGGTCACTGTACAGAGAGGGGCAGGCACGAGGCGTGGGGAGGGGGGGCTAGGACAGCATGGACTGTTGCACGGCCTTCTGCAGTGACTGCCGCGTCACCAGCAGGCGCACGACCTCCTCGGAGCGCTTGGTGAGCCGCTTGCGCGCCTGGTCGTGGGTAACCATGGTCATGTCCCAGCCGTTCACCTGGCCCGAAAAAAACACACCTTCAGATCCTAGTTCTATGGGAGGGTCCAGGGTGCCCAGCCCAGCGCCCAGGCTGAGCAACCCTAGGGTGCTTCCTCTGCGGCGTGGCAATGTGGGCTCGCTGAGGTGCTCCTTGGAGCCACTATCCCCCAAGTGACCCAACACCCGTTACCTGCATGATCTTGTCTCCAATCTGCAGCCCAGCAATTTCGGCAGGGCCTCCCTCAGACACCCGTGTGACGTAAATGCCCTGGAAAAGGATGGCCCCGGTCAAGGACTGTGCTCTCTGCACTGGCCCCTGAACCCCAGAGAGGCCCACAGCCCACGCTCGGCCCTGCCTGGGGCATGTGTCCAGGGAGGAAAGCTTGGCTCCCCATGGCAGCAGCCTCCTCCAGGGCTCTGCCTGGGCAAAGGGCTGGAGATGGTCACTTCCCACCCCACCCCTTCCTATCCCCATCCCACCCCCACCCCAGATTCCTTTCTCGGCTCTTCACAGGGTGCAGCATCCTGGAGAGGGGAGTCTGCCCCCTCTGCCTCAGCCCAGGAAGCAGGCCCACCACCTCTGGCCCCTCTCTGCCCTAGCCCGCCCCCCCCACCTCACCTTGTCTGTCTTATCTTCCGAGAAGGGATTCTGGGAGGGATCCTGGTCAATGCCCCCTCCGATGCTGAAGCCCAGGATTAAGTTCTCACCTTGACGCAGCTTATGAATTTCCACTCTTTGCTGGCAAAGGAAAAGCCCAAACTGAGTTGAGTGTGTGGAGAAGGGACTGGTATGTGTCCTAGCAGCAGCCAGGGTCTGCTGAGCATGCTTAGCGCCATTGGGAGCAGGGGTGGGGGTGGGGGTGGTAGTAAGCATGCAAGACCCAGGTCCTCACCAAGAGTCTACCTGGTTTCCATCCTGGGACTCAAAACTCAGCCATAATCACACACACATCCACACACCTGTCCAGTGTCCCCCTCCCCGGTGGGTCTCAGGTAGCAGCCTGCCTTTGCATAGTTCCATACCCCTGCTAGCCTGAGAGCCAGGGGAGGGGGAGACTGGACAGGTGTGTGGATGTATGTGTGATAGCTTTGACATTTTCCCAATGTTCCCTAGGGAAAGCTTCACTCCATCCCCAATCCAGGTCACAAGAGAGAGAAGTCAGGCCTCACCCACCATGTTGAGGCAGGAAGACAAGATCCGAAGAGGGTCAGACTGCACATGGCACGACCTTGAGGCCCACAGGAACTAGCTCATACCTGTGTCAGCTCTCCAGGGCTGCCCACACACACCCCTCTATACCCACCCCAAGGTCAGAGTATGAAGACGCTCAGTCAGCCCCTTCTCTGGCTCCTCACCTGCTCCCCCTTTTTCCAGGTAAGGAGCAATCCTGGCACCGCTAGGGATCTGGGAAAGGGCAGGGTAGAGCAACCAAGGTGACACTCAACAAGCAGGTCCAGCCTTGCTTCCCGGAAGCCTGGGCTGAGGCTCTGCACTCCGCTTCATTGGACACCTTTATCACTGGCTCCCTGCCACCCACCCGCCTGACCACAGAACTCCCAGCACACTTACCAGCCAGTGCCTCTGGCCCGGGGCTGAGACACCAGCTCAGCTATGGCCTGCAGCACTCGCAGGCCTCCCTGTTTCCTAGAACTTCTGGGGAGCTAAGCAAGAGAGCTGGGTCCTCCTCTCTGGGACTCAGTTTCCCCACCTGTGCCATTCAGCGGTAGCCCCATCCGGCTGTGGTCCTGATGTTGTCTAATGTCCCAGCCCCTGTCCCCCCTGGCTGCGGAGCAAAAGGAGTGGCCTGGGGCCAGGGCTGACCTCCCAGAGGGCTCCAGTAACCTGTCAGGCAGGGAGGGATCCCAGGGAGCGTGGGCAGGCTCGAGCAAAGTTGTAGGAGCCTTTAACTCCTAAGGGTAGGGGTTGGCCCGAAGAATCTGGAGTCTTAGGAAGGGGCTGCCAGGCAGGCCCCGGTCAACCCCACTCCCCAATCTCCCTCCGCTGGGCGGCGGCGCTGGAGCAGAGGAAGCACTTCCTCATTCCTGAGGCTGCGACTCATGAACTAGGGCCGGCGACCGCCCCCTGCGGCTGCCCAGCTGGGGACACTGAGGCCCTGGGAGGGCAGTCGTGATCGCCGGGCTGGATTGCTGACAGCCGAGACCTCTCCCCTTCCTCCTCCTGTCTCGGCTGTTGAAGAGTCCAGCCCGAGCGACAGTGCACAGGGCTGACACCGGGGCCGGACCTCGGAGGCGCCCGGGTCCCCGGGCATCCCTGTCTAATGGCCCCGGCGGAGAGCGCCCCGCTCCAGCTGACGGGGTCGGAGCCCAGGCCACTCGTTCGGAGGCGTCCCGTGCCCGACATTTTGTCCCCTGGTTTGAAATGTCAGTTTACTGCTCTGCGAAATGGGGACAGGTCAAGACGAGGAGAAGCCCACGCGAGCGCACTCACCACCACGGCGGTGACCGGCTGACCCGGGATGTAGGACATCTCGACCCCAATCCTGGGAACCCAGCGCCTTCTCTGGAAGCTCGCAGCGAAAATCACCGCGGCCGCGCCCTCTCTGGTTAACAAAGACAACCCGGGTTGCCCCACCCCTTCATGAATAGTTAATAAGCTTCTAGCCAATCGCCTGCCGGAGCGCTGTCCGGCTTTCGGGCGTCACTTGAGTGTGCGTAAAAAAGGAGGGAGGAGGGATGAAGAATGCTCAGGGCGTCCACAGCGCAGGCGCCAGGGGGCGGGGCCGGAGGCTGGCGCATGCGCAGCCTGGGCCCTCCCAGCAGCCTCCAGCACAAGATGGCGCCGCGGGGAGTTGCACCTCCTCTTGTGTGAGGAAACGCGAAGTGACTTGTGTGCACCGTGTTCCAGGTAACTGGGCAAGCCTAAGCGGGAAAGGCGAGGGCGCAGCCCCCGTCCCCGGTTGGCCCGAGCCCTCCGTCTCCTCAGCACCTCTGGAGGTCTGAGTCCCCGGAGTGTTAGCAGGGCTCAAGCCCCAGAGGGACGTGGAGCGGGTGGGGGGCGGCGCGAACCCAGTCGTCCAGCTCCGGGCACCACTTGTAACTTGGTTTTCCTCGCAGCTCCGCGTTGCCCCGCGAGAGAGCAGAGTAGGCCCCGGCGGGTGCGATGGCCGCCGTGGTGGCCAAGCGGGAAGGGCCGCCGTTCATTAGCGAGGCAGCGGTGCGGGGCAACGCGGCCGTCCTGGATTTCTGCCGGACCTCGGTGTCAGCGCTGTCGGGGGCCACGGCCGGCATCCTCGGCCTCACCGGCCTCTACGGCTTCATCTTCTACGTGCTCGCCTCCATCCTGCTCTCCGTGCTGCTGATCCTCAAGGCAGGCCGAAGGTGGAAAAAGTATTTCAAGTCGCGAAGACCTCTCTTTACAGGAGGCCTCATCGGCGGCCTCTTCACCTACGTCCTCTTCTGGACGTTCCTCTACGGCATGGTGCACGTCTACTGAAACGGCAGGGGCACTGTCCAAACGAAAGCAAAATGCGGTGGAGGACGGTTGCCAGGCGTTAGCACCGTGTAGACTTACTTAGTTTTTAAATCGTTGAATAAATCCGCTGCTCGTTCTGTTAACGTTACAAGCAATTTCTATCCGAAGACAAAGAGCCTGTATTATCCTAGAGATTAAATGAAGCGTGAGACACTTTGTGGGGTCGTTTTCCTACCCGAGTGCCACCCGCCTTGTCATGGACGTGCCATCTACCAGGATCTGACTCCTGGACGGCCGGGCCTTACATGGCCTCCTGTAATTTCCTTGCAATTACTTGGATACCCTCCAAAGAGGGGCTGCTATCGTAGGGAGAAGTCGGAGTGTTGTGATCCCAAGAACCAGTTCTCTCAGTAACTTTCTCAGGTCGGTCTTACTGTTACCCCCTGTAACACCTGAGACTTAGAGGGGTACTGATACACCACTGCCCAAGCTCGCACAGCTGGAAGAGGCAGGACTCACATGCAACTGGCCATTATTGTGCTAGTTCTATGGGCCACTGTCACCTGCCTGTAGGAAGGCTGTCCTTGCAGCGCCATTTCACCTAGTAACAGCTCGCGGCCTTTTCCCAAAGAAGAAAATCAGTTGAAGCTTTTTCCCCCCAGAATATTTCTAGTGAAGATTGTAAGACTGGCCAGTCAAGCTAAATTGTGGGCTTTATGAGAGTGTAAATATGTATGTCAGTCCATGATCCCTTCTTGTGAGGAAGGTTATCTGCAAACCCATTTGTGTAATGATGAGATAAATACTCCGTAGGAGTTATGGTCATGAGCAGTGTTGCTCATGGAATATGTAACTGAGGAGACTAGTGTCACCTAATTTCACAACTAGCTTTGAGAAGTTCTTATGGAAATGAAAAGAATTTTGTCCAGAAACTTTTGAAGCCCCCCCCCATACTTAAAGTAAGTTCTGTGAAGAGTATATGGATAATAAATAAATAAGATGCTTTGACATTTGGTACATAAGTTAAAGCCAAATTAAGTGTGGGGAATTATTTCCAGGGAAAAGTGTGAGAGCCATTGAGCAGGAATGAGTTTGCTCTCTGTGTGTTGAGTAAGAGCAACAGAAGAGCCACCTGAATGGATTATATACCAAAAACAAGCCCACCACCATGGAGTCTGGTGGGTTTGGACCGCAGACCTTCCAGTTAAAAGCTCAACACGTGGAAGGATCATCAAAACAAAATCCCGTCATGTATTCAATTCTGATTCATAGTGAGCCTGTATAGGGTGTTACAGATTAAATATTTACAGGAGCAGACAGCCTCAGCTTTCTCCCTCAGAGTGGCTACTGTGTATGTTTGAACCTTTGACATTGCAGTTAACAGCCCAAAGCCACAGCACCCTAGGGAGTCCTTGAGGAGTTCACAGAGGGCTATAAATATTACTTGAGGACAGCCACTGACCACTCCAAAAAGAGGCACTCAACTGTCATCAAGTTGGTGCTGACCCAAAGTGACCCTATAGGACAGGATAGAATTCCCCCAATGTGTTTCTGAGACTAACTCTTCAAGGGAGTAGAAAGCCTCATCTTTCTCCCAAGGAGGGGCCGGTGATTTCCAACTGCTGGCCTTTCGGTTAGCAGCCCAACTTGTAAACACTACGCCACCAGGGTTCTTTTCACTGGGACTTGAGCCTCCTAATATTTTTTTTGGATTCTGGGCCACCTGCTGGCACATAGGCCAAGAAGCTGAGACCACAGCTTTGCCTCCCTTTCCCAATGGCCTCTTAACCTTTTGCCAACCACTGAAGGGCCTCACTGGAGCCCTGGTGGTGTAGTGGTTGTGAGTTGGACCATAAGGTCAGTGTTTTGAAACCAGCAGCTGCTCTCAGGGAGAAAAATGAGGCTTCCTACTCCCTAAAGAGTTAGTCTCAGAAACATAAGTGCAGTTCTATCCTGTCCTACAGGCTCACTATGAGTTGGCATAGACTTGTTGGCCCTGACTTTGGAGGATTTAAAGGGCTTCACATTTAGTCCCCCATCAGGGTCTACCTGGGTACATTCCTAAGGAAAGATTGAGGGGGGGCGGAGCAGGTGAGCTCTTGACTGACTTAGCCAGCCCCCTATTGGGCACTAAGGTGAGCGGCAATGTTCACTATTATAAAAACATTATAGTGAAAGTTCTGTCGTTTTGAGGGGATTTAATAAATTACTGCAGAAGGTTAAATGCTTTCCGCAGTTTTATCAGATTGCTCTCTGCAAAGTAGCCGAGTTATCAGTGCCTTCCTACCTTTGTTTTCCCAAGAGTGAAAGGGCACCTTACTTTCATGTGAATGTCTGTGAAAGATACTGAAGAGCCGACTGTCGTGCCTCCTCTCCTGGTTGTGCTAGTGCCTGCCTCTTTTGGTCTCGTTCTCATGCAACACAGGTGATCTCGAAAGTTCAGGCAGGAAAGGGAAGAAATCCAGACAGGTTTACGGTTGACACTTTTTATTGTTTTCGTCACCAGTTAAAGACCTCAGAGAATACATAGACTGAGCAGGTGTTTCCCATCCTCCCTGCTCAGTTCTGTGTGCTCGCTCTGTGAACAGCAGACAACAGTGAAGTCTTGCGGGGAGAGTGTGTTCAGGGGATAGTATGCGCTGAGGAAAGCTGCATCACTGACCATGGGGGGGAGCTGGGGTGAAGCAAGCAGCATCCTTTCCCAAATATGCAAAATGCCATTCCAAGGGGGGTGATCTGGAGAGCCTGGGGGACTAGTCCTTAGCTGGTATACTCAGAGACACCTGAAGGTTATGGTCCCCTATATAACTGACCTCCAGTGGAAAAGGCAGCCTCAGAAACGGTACAGGGGGCCCATTAAAAAGGCAGCCATGTATGGATAGTGGGCACTTTGCTTTTCCACAGCCAGTCCCTGGGGCAGTACATGGATAGCACCCAATTTTCACATTTCCTGCTGGCCAGCGTCATGGTACTCCCAAGGCCTTGGATAACTCCATCGTTTAGAAAACAGTAGGTGGGTGGATTTGGCTAGGGCCTGAACATAAGAATAAACAGTTCAGGTCGTTCTGGAAGATCAGAATGGAAAAACAGCCTTGCAAAGCCTACACGCTTCATGTTGCCTTTGAGGCAACCAGTGCCCTGTAGTGGGAAAGGAGCTTTCCCAAGTTTGAAAGGAACTCAGGTTCCAGCTTCCCTTCTCCCCACTGAAAAGCCAGTTTGTACAGCATTTGTGAGCACCCCACTCATGAACCAAGATTATGCATCCCCACCCATCCCCCGAAAAAGGTGCTTAGGTTGTGCTGTAGTAGGGAAGGTTTTACTAGACTTGAAGTCATTAGGTTGGAGAAGTGCTCCATGACAGTAGTGGTTAATGGAGCAGCCCTTACGACAGCATGCAACTTGATTAAAAGAAACCCTCACAAAACCAGTGTAGGTAACAGGTGACATGAACTTGGGGGGGGGTGGGCAAGCATTTCATAGCCCTTCCTGATGCTACCCCACCCCCATTCTCCCTCTGAGTTCTAGTCAAGCCACGTGCACCCAGTTCCTCAGCTGCGTCTTCTCATGTCAGGGCATTTCTTTGCACGTGACCTGGAAGGCTTCCCCCAACACAGTTCCACCAGTCTCGCGGAGTTCAACTTACATGGTGCTTCCTTGGAGAGACCGCTGGCCCACCCTTTCTCATTGCAGATTCTCAAAAGTGCCCTGTTCCATTAACGATTATACGTGTGAGGATGGGCCGTGTCTCTGGTTCACTCTGTCACCAGCATTAGTCCAACGGCTGACACATAGTAGGTACTCAATACTTAATGACTAAACGAATAACAGTAGAAAAACATTTCTAGTCTTTAACATAAAACAAGCCATGTGATTTCCCCATGACAAGCAATTCCATCTCACTACCATCGAGTCAATGCTGACTCATGGTGGCCTCTGGATTTCCAAGACTAAGTGTTTATGGGAGTAAAAAGAGCCTCAGTGCTGAACCATGTGGCTCACAGCCCAATGGGTAACCACTATACCACCAGGGCTCCTTAAGGAATTCCATAGGCAGGTTAAAAGAAACCAGCCAGAACTTGGAAATGACCTCTGCCCCTTTTCCTTCGTCACACACCTAGAAGTAACAGGCAGGATTTTCGACCCCAGGCTTGCTTTCCTGAGGAAGGGAAGCCCCCAGTGAACCCTGCCAGACTTCACTTCTGCTCAGGGAGCAGGGTGAGCTTGTTGACAGGATGCCGGTCCACCTGACGGCAGGCAGCTGCTTGCTTTAGAAAAATCCCTTATTCTGGGCAACCCTTTGCTCCAGTGGTAGTCTGGCCAGCTTCCGGTGGCCTTTCTGTGTGCAGAGGACAATAGGCTCTTCTGACTGAAAAGAGCCCTTCCCAGTAGGACATGCTTGAATTCAGCCCCCGGGCTTTTAATGAGACCTCCGGACCACAGCTAGTGGTTGAGTGTGAGATTTCTCACTTCCTCCAGCAGATGTCACCGTCTGCCTCCGACAGAGGACTCCAGGCCTCACTTGCAGGCACCAGGAAAGGTTCATCGTAGGGAGTGAGACGGTGACCAGGTGGCTTCTCCGGGAAGTAAAGGCACCTCCAGGGACTGGTAACTGGTTGCTTTTAACCATCCAGTCTTTTGTTATGTTTGGTCAAAGCATTGTTATTTCAATCAATTGAGCCTTCCTCACTGCCTGAGCAGGTGCTCTTGGTCTCTAGCTAGCATGGGGAGATCTGACCTAGAAATTGGCTGCAACAAATGTTCTGTCCTCAGAACCAGGACATCTCAAACCTTAATCGGCGCACACATCATCTTACAAAGGCTCTTGAGTGTATCACTGAGGCCCAAATGGTAAGCCAAAAGGAAGGTCGGGTCCACTCAAGGGTGCTGCAGAAGAAAAGCGTGGAGATCTTCTTCTGGAAAAAGCAGCCATGGGAAGGCAGACCTGGAGCACATCCTGGCTCTGACACACCCTGCAGCCCTCAAGGCTGCTGGTCGTGGTCTGCACCCTGAGGGCCAGCGCTGTATAGATGCAGCGCAGGCTGCAGGCGTGAGAGGAAGCACCGTGTTCAGGCTACTGTTTGGCCTACTGGTTCTGGGAGCATGTCCTCATCCTTGATCTCACTGGCCCTTCCCTGAGGAGAGAAGGAGGAATCTCAGCCCCACGGAGTAGCAAGAGCCAAAATGCACAGGCAAATGTATCTCTCACCTGGGCAAGACACTACCCAGCGTCACCCCCACTCCCCAGGCTGGGCGGGCCCAAGGGAGATGGAGACACAGAAAGACACATCTCCCCTATCAGACCTCAAAGCCTGAGACTGCTTCTCTCCCTCAAGAGCCAGCTGCCTGCAGACTTTCCCGGTGGCCTCCTTGGCCACGTGTACATTTGATCACCCTGGGGTAGGACTAAATGACCCCTCGGACGGACATTGGCCAAGGGCTTGCTCTGAGGAGCCATCAAGCTACAGAGATGAGTAAGCTGTCAGCTAGAGGCTGGAGAGAGGCCAAAATGGCCAGGCCGGGCTGCAGTGTGACTGTTACCTTTGGAGGAATCTGCCCTTGTGTTTCTGTCCCCTGCACCACCAGCCCAGCAGGCCCCACCCCCCAAGGAACAGGTCAGCGCCTCATTTAAGCATCACCCAGCCCTCGGCAAGAATCAATAAATGTTTACTGTGTGTAGGAATAAATGAATGAATATCCAACCAGATTCTCAGAAGAAATTGAAACCTCCCAGACTGGCCTGCCCTCCTTCTGTTGGCAGGGCTGACTCTTCTAGATGCGAGTCGCTGTGGCCTGGGAGGCTCCCCTCCCACAACAGCAAGCTTGCAGAGGTTGCCACCCCGGTCCAGGTGGGAAGGCTGGGTCTGGAAGCCCCGTCCCATGCAGGCACGAAGACTCCTCTTCCTGGCAGAGCCATGGCTCTTCTGCTCCCACGTCTTCACCGAGTTCACTCAGCCAGCACCTGTGGCTACGTCTCCACTGTATGCAGGCTCTGCAGCTGCTCCTAGTTCTCCACTGTATGCAGGCTCTGCAGCTGCTCCTA